GTCAAAAAGCAGCCCCCCTTCTCACAGGCTTGGGTGCACGACCAAGCTGAAGTCAGCTTCTTGCCCGAGGCGCCAGAATGTAACTGCTGCACCGTTTAAGGTGGAACGGAAAAATTCGAACAAGAATCTGGCGAATAGGAAGCCAACTTCAGCGTCGTAGGTGCACGCGCCCTGGGGTGTGAGGGGGTGGCAAGGGGCTCGAAATCACGCGCTGGGGGTCTGTAGAACGCTGGGAAGGGGTAGCTTCATGGCCTTAGCTGCCCCAGTGCAAGCAATGCCGTGAAATCAAATCAGCTGTCAGTTTCTTATTTGTTTTGCCTTTTGCAGGTACAGCACATGGGAGCCTGAAGAAAACATCCTGGACTCTCGCCTTTTCGCCGCTTTTGAAGAGAGGTAATGTGCATGTGGTTGCATGCTGTAAATACACCCATACCCGTACACCCCGCACCCACCCCACTCTGCCCCTCGTGCATGCATGCCATTAGAGTCTTATCCTTATTTTTGTGCCCCACGTTGGGCTGCCGCCGCTTCAATTGGTCTCAAGTGGCTGTCGCTGCTTTCGCAGGGAGCGTGAGAGGGAGCTGTTCGGACCCAAGAAAAGAGGACCCAAGCTTAAGACCTTTCTGATGAAGGTTGGTAACTGTAGCCAAGTGTTTGGATACTGAGTTAAAACTAAAAACTTTGGTTATAGGATGTACAGACGTTCAAATTATGAATACGTTTAATCAGAATCAGGGTTGGGCTTACACACTTAAAAGATAGTTCTTCATGGGTTCTTTGGTAAAGAAACACAACACACAAAGAACAATTTGAATGCTTAAGTCGTCCTTTGCATGGTGAAAGCGTTCTTCAGATTGGTGGAAAATATGTTCTAGATGGTTCTATATAGAACCCATTTGAAAAGGGTTCTTCTGTTGTATACATGCTTGACATTGTAACAATAGCAGAACCATTTTTGGTGCTATATGGAACCATTTTCAAAAGCAACACGTTCTGCAAAGCTAGCAGATGTTTCTTAGAGTATTCATGATATTTTTTTTTTTTGACGTCTGAAAAGTAAGAAGAGCTAAAGTAATGCCACATTTAAAAAAATACCATCAAAAACTATGAATCGAATTATTAGCATTTAATATTTTGTACACTGTGCTGCACTAAATCCAATTAAGCAGGATTAATTTTGCTGTTTTGCAGTTAACCATGCAGTTGAAAGTGCTTTTAAGTGCTAGCAATATTCACACCATGCTCCGAAAAGACATATTGTGATGTAATTACAACAGTAACAATAATTATGGTCATGTTGCCCAGTACTGCGTTTCAGGTTGAGGTAAAGGTAAGGATTTGGGAAAATTAAGGTGAATAAAATAGGTATTTAGTTGAAGTTAAAGGTATTCTATAAAGCATCTATAGTGAGGTATCTAAATAAAGTGCTGACGCAATTTATTGTAAAATTAAGCAACAATAATTTTTTTATTCTTGCGTACATTGATGCACATGGGCCTGAAATTCCGCTTATGAATTTGGGTGATTTAAGCTGTAATGTTAGTGCATATTTATGTCTAGTTCATGTAATTTATGAGGTCAATTCTAAATTTACTGCACCAGTAACACATAATTAATGAAATATGACTGCATTTCAGTTCAGAGAATTGCCTATGAATTTTAACCATTTCAGATATAATAAATGATTCTAGACGTGTAAGTTATGCAGTTGGGTCCATTCTTAAATGCCTCCTTGTGTTTTTTTCACAGGCCCAAGCGAAAGCCAAAGCCAGATCCTATGAGTTCCGAGGCGAGTCTTCACGGAGCATGCGCATCACCTACCCCAGCCCGGAGGCTCTGGCCACCCCGAGGGCCAGAGAGGGCCTGAGGGCCGTCGTCCCTACCATCTTCCCTCCTGGCACTGTCAACAGAGGTGAGAGTGTCCGGCTTCCGCCTCCAGAGCCGCCCCGAGAACTTCCCTTGCCGAGACCCACCTCCGACGGCTTCATCCACACGCCCAAAAAAAGAGGCCGCAAGCCCAAACTGCGCTTTAAAGACGGCTACTCGAGCGGCCTGCTGCATCCAGACCAGGCGAAGATGAGCACGGAGGAGTCGATGTCCGGCATACCGTCCAAAATGGCGCGGCTTGAGCTGGGCGAGGACGACGAGGACAGTGAGGACAGGTGCTCCGACCTAAGAGCCATGAAGATGTCCCACAGGCACCAGGCTTCTCCTGCGTACCCCTATAAACCCCACAGGATGGTTCCATCGATGGATTGGAGCCTTCATTCCAGCAGAACGGCCTCAAACTTGCAGGACTGCAGGACTAGAGACCATTTGAGCCATTTGCACCGCAAACACCTAAAGCACCTTAAACACCTCAGCCACCACCGAGCGTTTGAGGCTGTGGACCCGGCAGCCAGGCTGCAGCAGCAGAAGCCCACTCTCATCGCCAAAATCCCTGTGGCGCGGATTCTTGGGGAGCCGGAAGAGGAAGAGGAGGAAGACGAGGAGGAAGATGAGGACACGTGGAGCCCCTGCTTCAGCAGTGTGGAGAAGGTCATCGTCACGGACGTGACGACAAACTTTTTGACCGTGACTATTAAAGAGAGCAGTACAGACGAAGGCTTCTTTAAAGACAAGAGATGACTCTAACCCTACCACCACATCTAAAAGTATACATATGTATTTATATATATATATATATATATATATATATATATATACATAGTTTTTGCCTTGTTTTTCTTCATATATCAATTATGATGAATGTTCTGTAGATTGTACATAAAAATATGAAAGATTTTATTCCATTTTCTGTGTTAGACACTGAAACATGTATTTAACTGTCATGGTAAAGCTGTGGATGAACTCAAGATGATGGACGGAGATTTGCATGCACTAGAAATGCTGAGTTTTGAGCTAACAGTTGTGTTTATTTGCGGATGTTTTGGCTCCCAGAGCTGCTTCATTATAAAGTAGACAAAGATTTTTATGAGAAATCGTATACTAAATATAATAAGCTTCTGTGTTTCCAGTGTCTGTCTAATTAATGCTCATTAATGCCCATTAATATTCAAGCATTGTTTCACTTGTGCACAGGTTGCCTTACACTTGCAACAAACTAGTAACTCACCGGTTATTACATTTTTATTTGTTTATAAGATTATAATATACTGATTGGTTAACATTGATAATAATGTTAGACTTGGTACAGGATGAATCACACTGAACTGCACAATAAATGGCTTTGGATTCATATTTCATATAAGTTCTAATATGGAAATGAGCATTCAACCAATTGCTAAATGTATGTGGTGAGCATCCTGACAAATCACTGACAAATTAAAGCATTCACGTGATGCACCAAATCTAAATTGCCCAATAGGCTCCTGATTTACTCCATAAGCTCTGCTGAGACGACCACATGTGTCAGTATAAACGCAATGTGACTGTTTTCTCCATATTGTGCATCGCTAATCAAAACAGGTGGGTTTTTAGACTTTAGTGGAGTTCAGTGTTGGTTTTGCGTTAGTAACTGTGTGAGGCAGCTTTGGGTTTCGGTTTAATTAGTTTGTGTGAAGATATTTGTAAACGGAAGGTTGTTGGTGCGTTCACATTCTCAATTCGGTTTAAATAAATTCACTTTAATTTAAAGACGGTTTATTGATATAAAGAGTACACTCTTAATTGTTACAATATCAAGCTTGTAATAATAGAAGAATCCTTTTTGCTGGCATACACAACCCTTTTCAAAAAGGTTCTGTGTAGAACCATATACAGCACATTCTGCATCAATCTGAAGAACCATTTCACGATGCAAAGAACCCTTTAATCATACAAAGGTTTTTCAGTGTTCATGGATCTATATAGAAGAATTGTCTTTACTACAGAACCCTTGAAAAAAAACATCATTTTTAAGTGTGTACATTAAACTAATGTGAACGCATTTTTTTTTACATATTTATAAAATCAGCTTGTACAAAAAACTCCTATTTCTTTTTTTTCGATTTTCATTTTTCTACCTCAGCAGCTGTGCTTTACATCGTGTGAACATTTCAAACTGAACGGACCAACAGAAATCCTTCAAAATCACTCGGGATAAAATCTCTTTGCATTAAACGTCATTGTAAGTTGAGAACGTTGTTCTTTCTCCTGTAAAGTTACAGTTTTAGATGTGCTTTGACGTCATGTCCGTCACCTCTCTCGTAAAAATGTTCATTCTGTGTGTGTGTGTGTGTGTGTGTGTGTGTGTGTGTGTGAAAGAGAGAGAATATAACGCTATGAAAGTGCTGAGTGCTGAGTGATTTCATTTTGATCTCATTTGTGGCAGTCTCGCGCAGTTTCATAAAATAAAAGAATCTTTTACATATTGTCTTAACTTTGTCTCTTGTTTGCTTGAAATTAATTTAGTCATTTGGTTGTTTGTAAATGAGAATGCAAATGTTTTTCTGCATTCAGAGACAGGTAAGAGGTTTTATCTAAGCTGTTAACTGTCGTACCAATTTAACTGGTTTTGTTATAACGTCGTATTTTTGAAGAATTTGTTTTATCCGATTTGTATTTTTTTTAATTACTGTTTAATTAAAGAAATGTTTACATTTATTTTTACAACCTAATATGGCGTTAATTACGTTCAGTGCTTTTTAATGGGGTTAAATTGTGCACTAACTTTTAACCTTATTTCTGTCTGTTTTTTTTTGTTTGTTTGTTTTATCTGTGGTCTAAACTGTGGCAATAGACAGATAGACAGCTAGATAGATATATATATATAGATAGATAGAGACTACTGATTAACTCATCACAGCAAGCATTAAAATATAACTAAAAGTGAATAAACTCAGCAGAGACTCAACGCTGATACAGCACTGACCATATATACAGCATACAGACCATATATGCAGCATTCTGGCCATAAATGCGGCATACTGACCATATGTACAGCATTCTGGCCATATATGCGGCATACTGACTGTATATACATACAAACACAAACATTCACATTCAGCACAGCCGTTTAT